TTGCTATAAAATCACCCAAAGAAATAGAGAAAGAGCATCCAGAGCAGTTACTAGCAAACAGAGGAGATGCACAGAGACTAGAAAGAAAGACGGACAGAGAGAGAGAGAGAGAAAGACAAAGAGGAAACAGTTACCAGCTTTGCATAACCTTCACTTTCTTCGCGAAGAAGGTTAAACTTTGTTTGCTGATAAAGAAGACGAGTGTTTACCCTGACCTGAAATCCATTACAGAAGGATATCACACTTAAGGGAACTATCTTCATACACAATTTGCAAGCAATATGTTGGGAGTCTATTGAATAAAAACCAACAAAAGCAATGAAGAAAAGGACAGATGGATCCATTAACATATTAATTCATATTAGCCAGGGAAATATCGCCAACCTTCCGAGTCATTTTTAAGCAAACAATAATCACCAACTGAAAGCACACTCAGTACAAGATGTACTACAAATTAGCCGGCAGGGATGACACCGAGCAAGAACAATAACCCTAAAATATATTTTAAGCAGAACCTCTTTCCTTACTTTGGGGGAGAAAAACTATACCTCTTTCGACTTCAAATCTGCAGCCTTTATCTTGATCATCTCAGACTCCCACAAAAACTCTTCCTTTTCACATGAAAAGGCATTCATAAGCTTTCATTTTTCAAGCTAGTATTTAACAAGAGCAAAATGGTAGAAACATATATTAAGTTAGAAACAAGTAAAAAGGTACCTCACATCGCTCCTGAAAAAATCTCAAAGGAACCAAAGCAGATTCCACAAGCCATTTTGCCTATAAAGAAGACAAACCAAAACTATGTAAAGACAAAATACATTATACTTCAAAAAGGCTTTCTACTCTGAATTAATTTCTGTGGAACAAGCTGAGATTTTTTTTCTTGCTTTGATTGTTAAGGTGTTGACAGGCTGAGAATTGACAGAAGAAAAGGAAAACAGAAAGAAAGATACAGAAATAGCAACTACTACTACGCCTTGATAAGTATATAATATATTTCAGATCAACTGATCTTTTTTAAGAAAGGTAACAATGATTTTGTGTAAACTTATCAATGCCTAAATCCATAAGTTTTACTGTTAAGAGCAAAGTTATGAAGTAAAATAGATGACTAAAGGTTTAATCCAGGTATTTGTAGTAACTATTTGTTAAAGGGGTTGATTAAAGTCAAAACAAGATGAGACCAGATCTCTCTCTCTCTCTCTCTCTCTCTCTCTCTCTCTCTCTCTCTCTCTCTCTCTCTCTCTCTCTCTCTCTCTCTCTCTCTCTCTCTCTCTCTCTCTCTCTCTCTCTCTCTCTCTCTCTCTCTCTCTCTCTCTCTCTCTCTCTCTCTCTCTCTCTCTCTCTCTCTCTCTCTCTCTCTCTCTCTCTCTCTCTCTCTCTCTCTCTCTCTCTCTCTCTCTCTCTCTCTCTCTCTCTCTCTCTCTCTCTCTCTCTCTCTCTCTCTCTCTCTCTCTCTCTCTCTCTCTCTCTCTCTCTCTCTCTCTCTCTCTCTCTCTCTCTCTCTCTCTCTCTCTCTCTCTCTCTCTCTCTCTCTCTCTCTCTCTCTCTCTCTCTCTCTCTCTCTCTCTCTCTCTCTCTCTCTCTCTCTCTCTCTCTCTCTCTCTCTCTCTCTCTCTCTCTCTCTCTCTCTCTCTCTCTCTCTCTCTCTCTCTCTCTCTCTCTCTCTCTCTCTCTCTCTCTCTCTCTCTCTCTCTCTCTCTCTCTCTCTCTCTCTCTCTCTCTCTCTCTCTCTCTCTCTCTCTCTCTCTCTCTCTCTCTCTCTCTCTCTCTCTCTCTCTCTCTCTCTCTCTCTCTCTCTCTCTCTCTCTCTCTCTCTCTCTCTCTCTCTCTCTCTCTCTCTCTCTCTCTCTTTCTTTCTTTCTTTCTTTCCGCGCGATCACCGCAAGGCTAATAGTTGGAAACAGTAAGCTCCATTTCTGAAATTTGCAACCTTGGGTAGACAAATGTGATCGCGCATCTGAAGTATGGCAAAACTGTGAGCTGAAATTTGAGATTGCCAGAGAGACATTCTATCACCTGTCTGAAGATTGACCAAGACAATCAGCTACAGTTACCAACTCGTGATTGTCAAAACCTATAACGTGATCGCACATTGTGTTGAAAATGAATTTTGGGAAGTCAAATTAGGAAACTCGGCCAATGCTTTTAAGAGGGGTATAAATAACAGAGATATGAATTTGTAGGTGGTTCTTCAGCTGAGAAGCCAAAAGGTGTAGATGTCCTACGTTCTTAACAAGCTCTATGGAAAATTGATCTTCGGAAAGTACTTGCCACACCCAATGTTTACACCAAAGCAAGTAATTTATCCATACAACATTGTCGGTCTTATTGTTGTTTTATTGTATTTACCTTCCACTTTGGTGGGCATCTTATATCACTTAACACCCGGTAGCAATTCTCCATTTCAACAATCCGGTTTTAATCATACGAGTAACATGACATCTCCATTCCATTTATTATTCCATTCTCTTCAAGCAATGAGCCTAGCTATCTAATTTTTTGCATTTTGGCACCGCAACCCCATCTAATCTCATGTTTGATTAAACCTACAATGCATGTATTCAGTCTTACTTCTACTTATCCTAAAATCACTACTCTCTAAGGTACTTCTCCATCATTAAGCTTTTGGTTGACACTTCGTTAATTCATACAATATCATCAGCAAATAGCATACATAAAAAATTATGTTCTGACCAATTTTCCCTTCGAGACAAACGGAGAAACATTTGTTCTTGACCTAAAAGGCTAAAACCTCTTCCGGCAAACCCATCTTCAACCATGCTCCAAGACAACAACTTCCCCCTTCCCACTGAACGGCCTCTTACAGATATAAAGTACCCACACCATCAGAACTTGACCCACATTCCTGAACTAAACAAGTGTAGAAAACCAATGAAATGTTTGAGATGAAGTTAGTATATCCAACTTTTAAAGTGGGACCTTTAAGATATCCGGTGTTAATATATATATTCCTAATCTATTTCATTGTTCTCCTCCTTGCATACTATGTAAACTTTCCTTCTTTTACGAAAATGAAACCCACAGCCGGTATGCTTTAGGTGTGTACAGGGTAAACCCCCTCCTATGCAATAGCTTGCAAACCACATAGAAGAGGTAAATCGCACTAGACAATCCCCGTGAAAAGAGCTCGACCCAGAAGGTCAACCCTCTGTTGCCGCAAGCAAGGGGTTTTGAACTTGAGACCTCCATTATAGAAGTTCCAAGCCAAACCATCTAAGCCATCCAGAAGGGTTACTATGCTAACTTTCTTTGTTTATCAACATGCAGATAAATGCAAAAGCAACTGTTGTTGAAGTTCAAAATATTCACACGTGTCTACTTGAACAAAATCTGCATTATTGATCTCTTCTTCCTTTTGAATGGTTGTAGTGGGGACTGAGCTCTTTGGTTTTAAATGAAAGTCAAATAGGTTGCAAGTGAACAATGAAGAAGGTGATGGTCTAAGTTGCTCGGACTAGGTGAGGGTGTCCTATACAGGTGCAAATCTAGAGGTTGGATCCTTCCTGATCTAAATTTTTAATTTCAAAGGAACAGATAAAGGCTCAGCGATTCAGCTAAAAATAATTTAAATATCTAAAATTAGAGTTATATGTCTAATTTATGAAAAATACTTACAAGTATGCTGAGGAGAATCCTAAAGGAGATAAAACGATTGACACAAATTTTCATATGCAAGGTATTCCATTTTCTTCAATTTCACCTTAGCTTTTGTTTTGATTACAAAAATCATAGTATCTATCCCAAATTTCTCCATTGATTTTGGTCAAATTAACAAAAAATTAATTGACTAAAACATAAAATAAGGTTTTTCATATTAAATCAGAAAATAAATTGAAGTCCCTCGACAAAATGAGCTATTGCACACCAGCAAAATAAGTTTCAAGGACATAGAGTATGTCCTCTGTGAAGTAGCTAGAGTCAAATTTGATTCAAAGCCTTCAAAACAATAGGTGTTAATCATATCACTAACCAAGTGCTAACTAGGAGTAGCAACAGAAACAGAGTTGTTGTTGAAACATAGAAGATAAACAACCTCATCCACCATTAAGATCGAAACCCTATCTAGCACATGTTTCTCCCCCGCCAACAAGTGCAAAACTCAACTTCTCCAAGATTAAAGAGTGTCCATAGCAGAATAGCAGAATAGCAGACAAAAACTAATGTACTTCTCTTTATTTTCTCCATCCTAAGACTTGACCCACTTCGATAGCCTGAAGATGTACTTCTCTTTATTTTCTCCATTAACCATTAAGATCTAAATCCTATCTAGCACCATGCTTCTCCCAAGCCAACAAGTGCAATCAAAGTCCCTTAACAAAATTTGCTATTACACGCAAGCAAAGTCAAAGTTCCAAGGACATAGATTATGTCCTCTGTGAAGTAGCTAGAGTCAAATTTGATTTATGGCCTCTGAAATTGTAATACCCCAAACTTTCATATTCAAAGCCGAGATAGAGGATTCGGGTAGTATTCGGGTACAAATAATAGTTCTAGAGCAACAGGAAAGTGTTAGTAATAATGTAATGCCAAACACCCTTGAGTTAGCATACAATCATGTAGACGTAAACTTTGACTGAATAGGGGAGGACAAAGTTGTGTATGAGCCTTGGGGTCAATATTTATTTTTTTTGATAAGATAAGTGGTATTAATAACAGCATCAAGAAGATGCAAGATTTACAAGATATGGCATTTGAGCTTACAAAAAAAATCTCTGGCTAACTATACAAACTATCTAAGCCAGAACTAATGAGTTAGTAAAATCCTGAAGTTGTTCTGCATTAACAGCAAGATACAAGTTGGACCAACTAAACAAATTTACAATGCACCTACTCTTCAAAATGCCTAAAGCAGTTGACTCTCCATCAAAACATCTCTTGTTCCTCTCTAACCAAATACACCAAAAAATACAAGCAGGTATCATAATCCAGATCTTCTTGATGGCTTTGCCAACTTTCCATAGACTCCAACTCTCATATGCATCCTTAACAGTGAGGGGTGTGGTCCAATTGATGCCAGAGAGACAAAAAAACATGCTCCATAATTCTGAGGCCACCTCACAATGAAGAAGAAGGTGTCTGGGGATGATACAAGTTGGTCCAACTAAACAAATTTTCAGTGCACCTAGTCTTCAAAATGCCTAAAGCAGTTGACTCTCCATCAAAACATCTCTTGTTCCTCTCTAACCAAATACACCAAAAAATACAAGCAGGTATCATAATCCAGATCTTCTTGATGACTTTGTCAACTTTCCATAGACTCCAATTCTCATATGCATCCTTAACAGCACAATATAAGCTGAGCTAATGAGTTAGTAAAATCCTGAAGTTGTTCTGCATTAACAGCATGATACAAGTTGGTCCAACTAAACAAATTTTCAGTGCACCTAGTCTTCAAAATGCCTAAAGCAGTTGACTCTCCATCAAAACATCTCTTGTTCCTCTCTAACCAAATACACCAAAAAATACAAGCAGGTATCATAATCCAGATCTTCTTGATGGCTTTGTCAACTTTCCATAGACTCCAATTCTCATATGCATCCTTAACAGCACAATATAAGCTGAGCTAATGAGTTAGTAAAATCCTGAAGTTGTTCTGCATTAACAGCATGATACAAGTTGGTCCAACTAAACAAATTTTCAGTGCACCTAGTCTTCAAAATGCCTAAAGCAGTTGACTCTCCATCAAAACATCTCTTGTTCCTCTCTAACCAAATACACCAAAAAATACAAGCAGGTATCATAATCCAGATCTTCTTGATGGTTTTGTCAACTTTCCATAGACTCCAATTCTCATATGCATCCTTAACAGCACAATATAAGCTGAGCTAATGAGTTAGTAAAATCCTGAAGTTGTTCTGCATTAACAGCATGATACAAGTTGGTCCAACTAAACAAATTTTCAGTGCACCTAGTCTTCAAAATGCCTAAAGCAGTTGACTCTCCATCAAAACATCTCTTGTTCCTCTCTAACCAAATACACCAAAAAATACAAGCAGGTATCATAATCCAGATCTTCTTGATGGTTTTGTCAACTTTCCATAGACTCCAATTCTCATATGCATCCTTAACAGCACAATATAAGCTGAGCTAATGAGTTAGTAAAATCCTGAAGTTGTTCTGCATTAACAGCAGGATACAAGTTGGTCCAACTAAACAAATTTTCAGTGCACCTAGTCTTCAAAATGCCTAAAGCAGTTGACTCTCCATCAAAACATCTCTTGTTCCTCTCTAACCAAATACACCAAAAAATACAAGCAGGTATCATAATCCAGATCTTCTTGATGGCTTTGTCAACTTTCCATAGACTCCAACTCTCATATGCATCCTTAACAGTGAGGGGTGTGGTCCAATTGATGCCAGAGAGACAAAAAAACATGCTCCATAATTCTGAGGCCACCTCACAATGAAGAAGGTGTCTGGGGTTTCAGCCTCTTTTTTGCACATATAGCATCTGTTTGGGAATTGGATTTTTCTTTTCTTTATGTTGTCTTGGGTGAGACTTGCCTCATATAGAGCTGTCCAGGTGGAAAAAACTACCTTAGGTGGTGGTAGCTTGGTCCTCCAAATGAGTTTCCAGGGGACAGTTATCTATCACAGGGTTTCTAGAGCACAATTGTTGATACCCTTCCTTGACTGTATAAACTCCTTTCTGGTGTCCCCACTTGAGCTTATCAGCTGCCTAGAGATTAATGTGACGGTGTTGTAGTCTAGCAAAAAGGTTTACCAGATCATTCACTTCCCAATCGTGCATATTCCTTCTAAATCTCATATCCCAATTGATCCCTTCTCTATTAGCAGCAATAACAGAATTGGCATCTTGAGCAATTGTAAACAGATCCGGGAAATCCTCCTGAAGAGTGTTATTTATGTCCAAAATTTTAGGAGTAAACCATTGCCCAATTCAAGTAAGCATTCTGATCAAATGTGTCCCACAACATCCTAATACTCTTCCACAGTCCCACTCCGTAAGGAAGTGTAGTAATATTTGTGCACCATTGATTCAGCCTTCCATGCTTAGCTATGATGACCTCTTTCCAGAGCCCTGCGTCTTCCAAGTTGTATCTCCAAAGCCACTTCATCATCATACTTTTGTTGTGGACTGCAAGGTTCTTAATGCCAAGACCGGCTTGGGGTCAATATTTATTACGAGCATACAATAAAATTTAGTCAAGGTTTAAGGACTTATGGGAGCGTTAGTATAAGAATTTACCTATCAAATTAAATATCATTGAGCCTAGTTTCCAATGACACAAACCTCTCATAAAATTGACGAAGGTAAAAAAAAAAGGTTTTGCGCATTTAACTGCGGAACTGCTCAGCACCCAAGGGCATGCGGGGCACATGGCACCACGAGTATTTCAGACAAAAACTCATGTTTTTTTAAGTTGCAGTCGAGGGATTTCATTTAAAATTTGTTAAGAACATTTTGGGTCTATTCTCTCAAGACTTCTCCCTCTTCTTTATCAAAACTCAAGGTGTAGAATCAAGTGACAATATTCCTCCAAGTTCTTGCAAAAGTGATTAATCTAAGTTATTGTCCTAAAGGATAAGTATTATCTTGATGAATGCAAAGAGATGAGGTTGTGTTTTCTAGCAATAGAGGTATGTCTCCTTTCCCTACTTTCATATACGAGATGTTCTCGACATTTTAGTTGTATTCTATACGTAGGACTCATGGGACAGTGATAGGAAGCCATGAGTCTAAGTTTCATTTGTCGTGATTGATGTATTTAGTGAGGAGGGAGTATGTAAAGAGTTGTAATAGTTGTTGTTTGATGGGTTGGTGATCTTAGGCGTATTTATATGCCCAAGGACCTAATAATACCTACATTTAGGCCAAGTTTGGACCCATTTTATGCAAAGTAGAGTCATTTAGAGTCATTGGATTTTATATGTACTAACCAGCATGATTAGTTGTGTAGGTGAGATTAAATGGAGAAACGAGCATTGGAATGGACACTAGAGAACACAAAATAGCTGAGCCAAAAAGAAGCAAGGAAGAAAAAAAAAAAAAAAAGTTCAAGGCATCTTTGTATCCTCTCCGCATCGCGGAGAGGAAGTTTATTTTGGTTCATAAAATAATTCCCAAGCAGAGCACTCTGTGTCCTCTCCGCGTCGCGGAAAGGGATTTTTATTTTTGTTCGAGAAAATGGATTTTGAGGCAGAACCATCCGTGTAGCAGCCGCGTCGCAGAGAAGCATGCTTTGTCACGAAGTTAATTTCAGCCAAGCCTCCGCATCGCGCCATCAGTTGCCAGATTTGGCCGTTTCGAATTTAGTATAAATAGACTAATATTTTATTTTATTAAATATTCTTTTTCTGGGTTTTGAAGAACGACGACTTGGAGAGCTATTTCATCATTTTTTTAGGGTTCTTTCCTAAACTCCTTCACTTTCGATCTCTTTATGATTATTAAACATTGTTTGATTGATTCTATTGTTATGAGTAGCTAAATACCCTAGTTCTAGGGCTGTGGCAACAGGATGATTGTAATTTATTAAGTTTTCATTGGGTTAATATCAATTATCATATGAATCTTTCTTATGTTCTTGTTTTTTGTATTTCATGATTGATCACCATTGAAATAAACACATTGTCCGAATTGAACTCGGGAGAGGAATAAGAGGATAGAACGTGGGGCATAAGGAGCATGATTTTCTCTTAATAATTAGGGTTAATTTGTATCTAGGATAGGGATATACCTAGAAACCATGCTTGGTCACTATACAGGAAGAAATCGTAATACTCGGTACTTGGTCCAACCTATCCCCGCTCAACGATGTAGTTAGGTTGTCATTTATCGTAGGCAATTAGAGGTCGGAAGACCATGATCATACATTTAACCCTTTGATCACTGATTCGATAGTTGATTAATACCCGTTTAAACAATATAATTGCATGAATCCTGATAAGAGTTGCAGCCCTGGACTTTACCCAATCATTGTTTGAAGCCCTTGAAATTGAATCGCGTTTGTTTAATTATGTTTAACTTTTAGATTATAAAATAAATCACTCTTGAAATCTTGACAACACTTGTGCTTTAGCTAAAACTATTGGAACAATCGAGTTTTCTAATCGTAAGTCCCTGTGGGTACGATACCCGGCTCTTTATAAGAGCCACTTTAATACTTGAACGACTACGTACACTTGCATGTGCGATTTGGGCGCAACAGTTGGCCTTGTAGAAGGCAAATATATTGATGATTAGTAATATGAAAGATTGAGTATGAAGGACGTCGATGATTTGAAAGTCTCGCGAGCTTGACGCGCACCTTATGTTTGTCGATATGTCTCGTATACGTTGAATAGTAGTTTATAGTAGCCTTGTTACCTTATTATTGTAGATTAAAGCAACAAAGGAACAACTGATCGTTGCAAAGCACTAAAGGATTGGAATCAAGAAATGACAAATGTTAATCATGTCATCAATTAAGTAACTAAGGACCCGTTTGGCCATAGATTTTTCAAGTAGAATTTGGGGGGAAATTTGGCAAATAGTGTTTGTCCATAGAATTTTTCATTATTTGGCAAATAACCTAAATTCTCAAATACTAGAAAAAACTAGTATTTGGGTCAAATCTCATTATTTGGGAGCTTTTAAAAATTCAAATTCTACACCAAACTTTTATCATTTACAAAAACATCCTCTATAGTAGTTGTTTGCGTTGTATTACATAATTTTTTATGTGAACACCAAAGCAATTATGAAATATTCGGTGAATATGAAAGTGATGATATGGTTATTGATGAAAATGATGAACAATCAATTCAGGGTAACAAATTCATGTGCTTCGTCTACTCCACGATATATGGAATGATGCTTGTTGCACTCATTCTGAACTACCACATTGCTCTAGTGTCATGGACACTACTTGTTATTTCTTGCAACGAAGATCCAATAGATTTGTTGTGGAAGTAATGATAGATTTTAAAACGCATAGGTATAATTCATATTTCTTAAAAAAAGTGAAATATGTTTCCGAAATACTATGGCCAAACACATGGTGAAATTTCATTCAAATTTTCACCCAAATAATATTTGCCAAAAATATTTGAAAATCTATGGTCAAACGCTAGCTAAGAGTAACAGCTGCAACATAGTGGTCATTGAATCATAAAAGATAAACAATCACATCCACCGTTAAGATCCAAACCCAGAACATGTTTCTCCCAAGCTAACAAGTGCAAAACACAACTACTCCAAAATTAAAGAATGGGTCCTTAGCCGAGCACATGAAAATGAATGTGCTTCTCTTTATTTTCCACATCTTAAAACTTGACCCTATTTGATAGCTTGGAGAGTACTTCTCTTTATTTTCTCCATCCACCGTTAAGATCCACACTCTATCTAGCACCATGCTTCTCCCAAGCCAGCAAGTGCAAAACTCAACTCTTTAAAAATTCAAGAATAGATCCACAGCAAAGTAGCACACAAAAACTGATGTACTTCTCTTCTTCTTTTTTTCCAGAATTAAAGAATGGGTCCATAGTAAGGTAGCACACAAAAAGGGTTGTACTTCTCTTTATTTTCTCCATCCTAAGACTCTTCAATAGCTTAGGGAAAAATATCAATAGAAGTGTTCGAAATAATAACTTCAAATGCTAGACTACCCAAACAAAAAAAAAACAAAGAGACGAGTAAGGCACACAAAAGAATAAAGGAGATCAGGCTAACCAGCTTGTTAACACGTTGACGATTTTCTCCCGGCAATGACAGCTGCAAAGCAAAAACATTTCCTATGTATCAGTATGATGAATGTCCTAAAAGAATTTTCATAATGACATTGCATAAATTAGTAAGTGCATTGGCGAGGAATAAGAGTTAGCTTCTTGCTATTTTTTGCTAAAAACTATGAATTGAATCTTCTCTTTATTTAGAAAAGAATATCCATTAAATTTTCTCTTATTTAATATGTGAAACCAAAGGAGTTATAATCCATATCAAAGAAGTCTAAGGTTGCATTTTGCTCTGGAATCTGGAATTATTTTGGAATAACTGGTTCCCTTGGGAAATAACACAAGTGTTAGCAAATAATTTTGGAATAATTGGTTTTAGATAAGGAAAATCCGGACAGTATTGTAATTGTCAAAAAGAATAGTAGCATTGCAACTGATAAGGGGCCCACTTTGGTAATGGACTCCTTCAGTTTTGGTCTTTTGGACAGATTGCGACTTGATTTCACAACCATATTTTGTTTATAAACCACACTGAATTGTATGCAGAAACTATCTTGTTTGATTTCAGAACCAAATGGCCCCTAAGATTCTTTTAATAATTAAATGGATAGAGGTCTCTATCAGAAAGTCATATTTGCAAAAGAGTATTCCAAAGAGAACTGTCACATGATTACAACAAAGCACGCCTCCTTCATACTTTTACCTTGAGTGAAGTTCCAATACTCTGTTAGCATTTGCAAGGTTTTAGAGAAAGAGACAGGAAAAAACAAAAAGCTGAAAAGTTTCACTACTCTGTTAACATTTATTTTGTTTTACTCGAACACTACAAAAGTGCTTAAAAGCAAAAC